CCTGACCCTCTGCAGGTACTTGGTGGTTGCAGCTTTTCTAGCAGCCTCTTCATGGTTCCCATGGTTCTCATTGTTGAGTATATTGTTCTGTTTGCTTTGTTTTGTTTTGTTATGTGCAGAAAATTGTCATAGTGTAATTTTGGTTGCCTACTTGTATTATCACAGATAGGGGGCAGGTGTCAATAAGAATTTATTCTTCTTCCTGCTCCTTTTCATGCATGGAAACAGTGTTACTTTAATTGAAAGGAAGGTTGTGTATGGGAATGCATTACTGCTGTACCATGTGTGAAACAAAAATTTACCTGTGGGATCCCCAGGTACTTGTAGCTGTCTTCTATGTCTACAATGTTGCCTTCTGGTAGTTCGATCCCTTCAGTTCTGTCTACCTTCCTTCTCTTTGTTATCGTCTGACTACATTTCCCTTCCCTTCTGGGGGTCCTTGAGGATCAGGACTGTGCAGCGTTCGGTTAGCCATTCTGGGTGTCTCTCGTCAACTAGCAGCTGGTTCATTTGTACTGCCAGGTGCTCGTGGAGTGCAGTCAGCTTCTTCAGCCAGTAGGCGTGAACCATGTCGGGGCTTGGTGCTGTCCAACTCTTCATACTGGAGACCCTTTCTTGGATGTCTGCCACTGTGATGGTTACTGGACCCTGTTCGAGGAGGTTGCTGTGGTCTGCCCTCAGATCCATTAGCCGCTGAGCATTGCCGTTATGAGTTGCATCCTTCTCCCATATGCTCTTCCAGTATTGCTCCGTCTCCAGTTTTGGTGGTGCTGTTCTCATATTGTTCCCCTGCTACTGAGAGTACACCTTGGCTGGTTCTGTGGAGAACAGCTGGTTTATTCTCCTGCCTTCGACCTTTCCATGTCAGAGGCTGAACTCAATGTTCTATCCATTTAGCATCACCTCCCTAATTGTCTGAACCTCTGGAGGGCAGCACGGCGGTTAGCACTGTTGCCTCACAGCAAGGAGGTCCTGAGTTTAATTTGACCATCAGACCAGGGTCCCTCTGTGTGGAGTTTGCATGTTCTCCCTGTGTTTGCATCGGTTCTCCCTGGGTACTCCGGCTTCCTCCCACAGTCCAAAGACATGCAGTTGGTGGGGATAGGTTAATTGATCAATCTAAATTGTCCATAGGTGTGAATGTGGGAGTGAGTGTGAATGCTGGTCCATCTCTGTGTGTTAGCCCTGCGACAGACTGGCGACCTGTCCAGGGTATACCCCGCCTCTCGCCCTATGACAGCTGGGATAGGCTCCAGCGCCCCCTGCGCCCCTGAAAAGGATAAGCGGAAGCGAATGGCTGAATGGATCTGTGTATCCTATACTAAAGGAGGTTACAAACAAAGTACTTAAGTATTTTTTATATATATTATTAAAAGAACTTAACCAGCTTATCATTATGGCTACCATGCAGATAATTCCAAGTCACTTATCTCAGTTAGCAACCTTCCTAAGCATATTTGACTATTTTTCTGCACCTCTAGCCTTGCTGAGCACTCGGAGTGCTTTTACACTACTTTTATGACTTTGACAATATAGCTTAAATGGTGTTTAAATAAAAAGAGCATTAGTTGTTTCTCAAAGAATAAAAAAAATAAGTAGATAAGAATTCAAGGCAATTAATTGTTTATTTTAAGTACCAACACTTAGTAAAGCAGCAAATTTAAAATGCATCCCTGATCATTTCTAGCTGACCCCATTGGAAAAAAATAAATAGCAAAGTCACACTAAACACAGAATATAAACAATGTATATAGTATGATAAATAGATTAAAACATGATATTGTATTTTTTTAAATAGAACCTTCTTTATTTATTGTATGTGCATGCTGGTGAGAAATAAATAACTTAGTCCATTCTAACATGCAAAAATGCATGTTCTTCAAGAATAGTATATGTAGATGGAATACTATATACCTTCAACTATGGGTATTAATCAGCTGGCTCACATAATACTTCACATAACAAAAATATAATATTTGCTTAACTTCTCCTTTAGAACAACTTACAGTATTATTCGGGTATGTTTACTGAGTGGCACATAGAGAAACACAAAGCTCTGTGCTTCTGAGACACTGTTTGAAGTACTTCAATAAATCTTTAAGTTGAACTAGTTCAGAACAGACAAACTGCAAAATGTTTACAATATTATTACAGAGCATTATTATTCTTGTCCAATAAATATACACTGCTTAAAAAAATAATAAAGGAACGTGTTGAAAATATATTTTATCTCAATGGGGAAAAAATCACGTTGGGTATCCATAGTAATATGGACTATCAAGCTACAGGGGGCTGAAGTCAAAATCACTGTGAAAATTGAAGTTAACAAATGATGGCAGGCTAGTCCATTTTGTTGAAATTCCATTGCGATAACTGAGAATGATACTCATTAGTTTGTATGCCATGACAAAATCAGGGCATGCTTTTACAGTAAGTAATGAGATGATAAATCATGTCCAGTGGGATCTCCTCCCAGCTCTGAAACAGCACATCACTGAGTTCATGGACAGTCTGAGGTGCAACCTGTCAGTGTTAGATGGATAGAAACATAATGTCCAAGAGGATGGATTTAAAAAGGTGAGTGTTGGGACCAGTCAATGATATCAATTCCTTCATCCTCCAGGAACTGCCTACATACTCTTGCCACATGAGGCCGAGCATTGTCACACACCAGGAGGAACCCAGGACCCATTGTACTAACGTAGGGGCTGACAGTGGGTCTAAGGATTTCATCCTGATACCTAATAGTGGCATTGCTTAGCCAATAGAGGTGTGATAACATGAATATTCCTTCCTGTACCATCACTGACCCACCAGTAAACCAGTCATTCTCAGCCAGTCATCTCATTTCAGCCAGCTAGTAAAATTACACATACACAGCTATGAACTAACACTTTCAATACTATTGCATTTTGCTGTGAAACAGGACTCAACTAGTTCTGATCCTAATTAACCGCCTGTCCACCAAAAAGAAAATAGCTTAAAAGGCAATCCCACTGCAACAAAACAGGTTTTGTGAAACAAAGGAGTCCAGTATCTGCTTTAGGTGCGCCTTTCCTTGGATAGAGGTTAGTCTGGTGTATTTGGTTGGCCTTGGTCATATTTAGTTGCTTGCTGTTTTGTGTCTTATGGCCAAGTAGACTCTGTGCCTTTTGTCTGCATTATTGTGGGCTCACCGTCCACAGCCTGGTAGGAGGTATGGTGGGCTGAGAAGGACTGAAACTGATGATGTGTCTTAAGAAGTATGAGCTTTGCATGGAGTAAAGACAGTCAATGGTGTTCCCCACCCTTTCATGTAAAGAGGCTTCATCTGGAGTGGCCATGAAGCAATCATTTAGACTTGTCAGAGAGGTCTCACTGTCAATGTCATGGATGAAGTCAATACCTGTCAAAATTAGAGAAGAAGAAGATATAAACAAGTAAAAACAAGAACCATGTAGAGAGAGTTTAATAATATTTTATTACAAATTATACATAACCTGAGCCGCTGCTAACAAAGTTCTGTTATTATCAATGTTCTATTTAAAATATAGGTTGGAAAAAGTGCAGGGAATTGTTTACCTTATTTAGAAAGACAGACAAAAGAAACCAGAAGTAAGAGATTAACTGAACATCTTATCAAACCTTTATCTTGTACATGTCCATTTTATTTCTCTAAGTTACCAATTGGTTATATTCACCTCCTACCTCCTTAGTTACTACTACTACCTCAGTTAACACCAAAAAAATTGTTCTGTTCTTTCACTACTTATTTAGACTTGTATTTATCTTCACAAATTAGTAAATCACTGTGTCAGCTCAGGTTGAGCAGTCTGGAGAGAAAGAGAGGCACAGCTGAGATGGTTTGGGTTTGTGAATAGGATTGTGGATATATTGCTCAAAGGATGCTGAATATAGAAGTGCCAGACATATTGAAAAGACATGTAAATATTGTATATCGTATAGAGGTAAATACACAAATAAAATTGCCAGTTTAGATCTGACATTTTATCCTGATATTATACAACACAATGACAGTATTGTCTGTTTGTTTGAAGCAGCTGTTTCATTCATTTTCCTTTTCTATTTTATTGACCTATTCTCCTGCAGGACTTAAGCAGCACACCAATGTTAAAATGTTCTTGTACAACAACGTGTCTTACATAGAAACAAATAAATCATCATTATCATTGGCTGTTTGATCTTAAAGATGTCTCACCTAACATTTCATTTGCTAATCTCACCTTCAAACAACCGGCTGCTTGCTGCTGGGTTGCTTAGTTCGTTTGGTTAACAGCAGCGGCTTCGACTCTAATAAACCCTGTTGCCATGCCAATATTGACATGCTGGAAGTCCCTGAACAGACAGAAGCAGTGCTTGCCAAACCAGTGAGACACTTATCTAAACTGTCTGTTCATATCCACTGTGAGACCACAGTGGCAATAAGCCCACTAGCCATGTGGAACTATATTGCAGAGAGAATCTCAGCTCCCGCTTTATAGCTCTGCTGTTGAAAAATCCATATTTACCAGCAGAGATGAAATTCTGGTTTCACAATATGGGGCGTGCTAAAAACTACAAAACTTGGAGTGTTTGCTGAGTGACTTTACTCTTTTTATTGTTCCAATAAAAAATTTAATATTTCAAGCTGTCTCTCCTCAAATTATTGATAAATCACTTAGCTTTCTGGAATCGCTGTTATTAGAATTCTAAAGGACAGATTGTAATGACAGTTACATTTCTAATGTCCTTCTGCCCCATTGACGCAGAAGGACATCAGTGGTGGTGCGTTTCATTTTGCTACATTAGCGAAAAGTAGCAAAAAAAAGGAACTGGAAATGCAAACAAAGATAAATCCTTACCTTGGCCTAGCCTTTGGCTGTTGTGTTGCTCCTGCTGTTGCTGTTGTCTGCGGGCTAACTTCTTCATCTGCAAATAAATAAATAGTAAACAGTTTGATACATGACTGACAGGCAAACAAGCAGACACACACACACAACCAAAAACACACATGCAATACTGTGCAAAGTCTTGTGCTGTTTCTTTATATTGTGGTTCTAAGGACCAGCAATTTTTCTAAGCAATGTTCTTAAGGTCTTTCAAAGATATTTTTTGGACATAGCACTTTAGGTACTTTGTTACTTGCAGCTCATAACTGCAACAAATAATTAGTTCCCACAGTGTTTTCAGGAAAAGGTTTGTATTGTGCATGCCAAATGGATTGAGCAGTTGCCCGGGTATGAGTGTGGGGCAGCATTACAGCATACAGTAAAGAGGACTGTGTCATGTGAAGCGGAGCCACATAGGAACTTGATAAGACCAGTAAAGCAGACAGCCATAAAGACAAAACACGGAGGTGACTCTTGGACTTCCTTTCTTGGGGCAGTCCTCATGTGAGCTAATTTCTGTTTTGAAGCTTTATTTTCATGTATGCACCTGTTTCAGTAAATCAATGCTCCTATTTATCATTTTCTAGCAAAATGTAAAGAAATCAGAGGTAGTTTAAGACTTTTACTCAATATTGTACCAATGCATCATTCTAGTTTCTAAAAATGGAATCTGTTCTTCAGTAACAGACATAATGCGAGAGGCAAGGTACACCCAGAACAGGTCTCTTGTACGCTGGCTTGGCCTCTCTGATACCTCTTTTTAGATCAGATCTGACTGCACTGTACTGCATTCAGTCACCAATCTGAAAGCAGCATCACGTTCTTTCAGTGTGACTTGGACCTCTTTATCCATCCAAGGTTTCTGGTTGGAATACACCTGCAGAAGGTTGTCTACAGTGACGCTGTCGACACAGAAGTTGATCTATGAGAGCACCGATGTTGTGTGCTCTGTTGGTGTTCAAACACACTCCAGTCTGTGTTTTCAAAAGAAAGAATGGACAACTGGTCTGAAGAACCCAGATGTGGTAACGGTTGTTCTGTAGCCTTTTTGGATGTTCAAGATTCAAAGCGCCTATTGTCATGTGTGCAAAGAAAAAGCATTTCTCTGTACAATGAAATTCTTATCGGTTAATATGTACAAATAGATTAAATACAAATAGGAATAAATAAGTGGAGACAGCAAAAAATTGAAGTGTTAAATAGATTTATGTGCAAAAGAGCTATGAGCTCATGAGATGACCTGATGTGCAAAAATTATTATTACTAGTTAAAATAGGTCAGCTGTTCAAGAGTCTGATAGCAGTGGGGAAGAAGGAGTTGTTGAGT